CTAGAGCAGAGTTTAAATGGAGACTAATCCTTAGGATTTAGAATTGACAAAAAATCGTTCTCAAAAATCTAAGAATGGTGATACCATCACCTTTATATTTCATGTTCGTGAAAATCTATCGTTCTAAACTTCATTCATTTTAGGATAAACTTGATTATAAACAACTTATTTGAACAAATTCCATCGATTTTTTTAACATAGGATTCAAATAATTGATGTATTAATCTGGGTTTGCTGAACATAGATTCAAGTTTTATACTTTTATTGATCTGTTGAATTAATTTTTGATCCTATTCAGTTTCTACTTTACTTATCTTCTGAAAACTTCGATAAAGTTTTTTAATTAATTCAAGAATTTCTCTGAAATTATAAATTATTTCTACTAATTGTAGTGCTAACTACTTTCAAAATAGAAATAATTAAAAGAGAATACCATTCTAAATTTTGTTAAGGACATACCTAACAGACATCATAAACTTATTATCAACTCAATATTACCTCTACTGCGCCAAAGTATTGTCTCGAGATGAAGTGTCTGATTCCCACTTAATACGTATAAATTCTTATTGATATAGGAAGACAATAAAATAGGATATAATGGAGTGCATCATACTTGAGGCATTTATTAGCTCCCTTTATTTACCTAGTATCATGTATTGTATGAAAATCATGCTTGCCATATTTGTATCATTGTGAAAAATTATTTGTTGTTAATTTCACATAGTAGCCGAATATTATGGAAAGGAGCAGGAATCAAGTTTAGGAAAATTGAAGATAATTTATTATAAAGGATTAACTAAAGTACAAATAGGAAGACTTGCTGGGTAATGTGCAATGTCTCCATTCAAAAAGAGTTAAATTATCACAGGTGCTTCAAAGGAGCTTCATAAAATCATCCACCAAAATGTTAGAGCTTAACTGCAATCTGAATTACTTTGATTTACTAATATTATGATCTATGGATTTTAAAGTATTCCTATTTTAGATTGAATTAGAGGTATCTGTAGCTGAGAAAAATCAAAATTAAAGGTGGAAATAAGAGAATTTTTTCAGAGGATAGCAAATAATAATCTCATTTAATTAAGGGTTTACAAGCTGCAATGGGAATGAGAATGGCTTAATTATAATGAAAAGAAAATCGAGTTAGGATGTATAAGGCCTGTGTTGAAAAAATACGGGAGAAACTTAAAAAGTTGAGCCATTAAAAATCCTGAATACATCATCCTGATTGGGCTTTTTCATTGCCCTTCAAGAATTCTTTCAAATTGAGAACAAAAACTTAGGATTATTAATCCTTATTTATGACTTAAAAGCTAAGGAATGAAAACATTAAAAATACATGAAAGTGAATAAACATACTAAACTTTATAAACAAACTTTATCTAGAGACTGAAATTAATATCAAGGCTATCTAGTGAAAAGGATACTATCATGGATTAGAGATTAATAATAAGAATGTGATTTCGCAGGAATTAATATGATTAAGTTGAATATTTATTAGCCAATAGAATAATAGGAGCATAAATTATAGTGTTAAGGTAATCAAAAAATTATTGGTAAAGTATGATAACATAAATAAATACTTAGGATAGTGAATTTTAATAATAGGTCCAAAAAAATTAAGATATATTTGAAGAAGGAGAGAAAATAATGTAAGATTTATAAAATCTTAAAAAGGAGCTAGGGTAAGATATATATCCTTTATTTAAAATATAGGTACTTAATGATAGAGGTTCAAAAATACATTGGATTCAGCATTAAATTTTAAAATATCTAGCTGTTAGATATGTAGTATTGTTTCTCAGTTAATAGGCTTGAGATGAATTAGTTAACATGTGTAAAATTTACTTTAGAGCAGATCTTCCATATAAATGAATAAATTAGAATTCTTACATGCAACTCTAAGTAGGAAGAAATTTTATCTATATGTTAATTTAAAATCAGAATTAAAATTAAACTGTCAAATTTTATTGTTAATGAAATAGATTATGATAGTGTCTTATACTTCATATAATTAATTAAAATTATTACAATAATTACTTTTAAAACAATAGTCAGAGTTTGAAAAGCATGATTGGTTATTTTTATCAAATAGGGCAACTCAACACCTCCTATTTCCAGTCGCAGCATAGGGAAATATAAAGGTCGTGAATACAATTTATGCTTGTAAATTTATTTGAATAAGTTATTCATATTTTTGAAATTTCATATCATTGCTGTTAGAATAATATCAGAAGGCTAATATAACAATATTTTTGACTTTTATTATACTAGCAATACTAAGAATGATGTGTTATCTACCTATGTGGATTGTTTTGAAAATTCTGCATCTTCAAAAGAGACTTGTTGTCTAATAATTCAATAACCTCGCATGTAAAATTTAGCCCTCCACGACCATTATATGTTTAGCATACTTAATCTTAATACTCAGATTGGCTGCACTTAGCATTTAATAAAGGTATTTGACCACTCAAAAACAAGTAAAAGCATCTGAATGTTTTAGATGTGCTAAACTAAATTCCATATATCATAATTTAATACAAGGCGTATAAACCATCATTCCAGCGGAATATTGAGAAGTTGTTGTAAAAGGTACTCAATTTATTATTGGAACATTATGTACAGCTGCCTCAATTTACTTTAACCATTGATGCAAGGATGATTGATACTAAGTACAATTTAGAAAAGTTTAAATAAGGCATCAAAATATTAATTACAATATTCTAATGGAAATTTCAAGGTGATTACTACTATAACGCTATTGGCTGGTAATAATACAATACATCAAAAAAAGAAATATATTAAGATGAATTGAAAGCATAGCAAACTTTCAGGTAAGGATTAATAATAAAAAATTTATGTATCTGGAGTTTAACTAATATTTGGCAATATAAGAAGAATAATAATTATCAAATTTTATAGGCTTTATATTAATTTTTGCTATTCAAAGAAATACAAAAATGCTCTATATTAACACTGTCAGAACATCTTAGAAGTTTTTAAGAAAATTCTTACACAAGGAAGAAGTTTATCACATCCATTATGAGTATACTTACAGGAGAAATCAAAGGTTTTGAACTGTCTTCTCCATTCTGGAACCAGCACATCATCGTGATTAGAGGCAAAGCTTCCAGCTCTTTCGGGCAAGAATCTTACAATCCTTTGTTGTTTTAGGTTACAATTCTCTACAAGATTTACACTTCGTCCACATGCAGATAGACTAGGCATAATATAACTATAATTAGATGATGCACTATATCGAGAACACCAAAGTTGGCCACTGTTAAGATTGAATCTAAATAAAATCTGATGAGACAATATATAAAATCCATTATCAAAAGTTTGAAACTCCTTTGACTTAGTTGATATGCAAATAATATAAGATAATTGGTGCTGAGTTATCATTAATAGATAAGGTTGCACAAGGATTATCTCTTAAAAATTACACAATCTTTACAAGTTGTGTTGCTTAACTTTGATGTCTTGGTTGATATGTTGAATAGGTTGTACATCTGAGATCGCTGCTATTGTTCAATCATAATATCATTTAAAAAGAGCCACAACTCGATTCAAAGGTTTGCAGTTTCTATTACCGACATTAGGTAAAGGAAAGACAATTTAGGTTTGTTTTATTTAAATAAAGGCTAGGCAAACTAATCTTGAATAGGTGAATATAATTGAACTAGCCACAACTTTATATATAAATATATTAATTAAGAGAAAATGTAATTGTATCAATAACCTTGCGCAACAGATATTATTTTAGCTTTAGCAAAAATTAATTATAAGTGAGTTAATTTACAAACTTGCTTA